CCTTACTCACAACAGGGTTTGAATTCAAGACTTTTAGGTTATGAGATGAGATCGTTGCTCACTCCGTCCGCGGGCTTATTCATTCTAACCTCAATTACTCGGAATAGACGGATAATCATAGACCAGACTTAGCGCTACACTAATCGCGTGAGACCTAATGATAATACCCATTTGCCAAAGATGAAAAATAGGTATAGCGGCAGTAGGACCCGTGATCCGTATAGGTGGGAAAACCAAGTTAGTGCTCAAGTCAATGAAGTGGTCCCTACGTAATCGGCAGGGAGATTCTCTTCATACTCCAAAAAATCAATATAAACAGGTCATGAGTGTGACCGATTGGTTACTCGATAACTCAGATATTTTAATGAGTTTTGAGGACAGCAACAACCCCCCCCAAAAAAATGCTTGAAATAGATGATACCTTTCTCATCACCAGTTTCAGTGAAAATCATATGAATATACTGCCACACACACACACACAGACCTGTAAACCATAAGTGCACCATAGTTGAAAACAGAGCATAATGTGACTGCACACACGCACACACATAAACACACCTGTACACCGAAATAAAGTTAGATTAAATCAGTGGAAACGTTCTATTAAAGTGCATAGCACTCCAAACACAAAAAACATTACCCATATTTGGAGAAGACTTGGCACCATAACTAGTACTGCTACTATTATTATTATTATTATTCTTGAAGGCTGAATCGAAGTCTATAGCACTATTGACTGAAGATGATGGAAACAAGAAGGATAAAGGCAACTGGCACAATTATTTCCATACTATTTGAAATAATTATAATGATAATAATAATCATAACAATAATAGTAATCGACGAATACAGATGAGGACATTTTGACAGAAACATTCAATCTGGATAAGTACTATTTGGGAAAATTGTCAACTCATGGCTAATTGGTTTAGGCACTTGACTTCCCATCCCCCAACTACCGAGGAGTTATGCGAGGAAGGGGGTCAGGTTAGTAAGTATTATTAGCACTCATATACATACACTCACTTACACAAAAGGTGTGCATGATTGCTAACTGCATAGTTACTATCTGTGTTAACTAAGGTATAAGGTAGCGTCTGGGAATCAGAGGAAATCCCGTCGGGTTGGTGTAAGTCATTGATTATCCCGATATACAAGAAGGGAGACAAGTCTTCCTGTGATAATCACAGGGGGATTAGCTTGACTAATATGTTATCTAAAGTCCTAGGCTCAATAATAATGCATAGACTAGGCGGTCCACGGGAGGAAAAAACACGACAGAACCAGGTAGGGTTTAGACCAGGAAGAGAGTGTAGTGATCATATCTATTCACCCTTCGACAGATTCTGGAACATAGGCATACATACTTACCGTTGGCGTCCAACAATCGTCAAATTTCTTGACCTAAAGATGGCATTCGGTTCTGTCAGCCGAGAGGTACTCTGGCGATGTTTGGCTGTGAAAGGAATGCCGAGAAAATACATTGTACTGATCAAGGCACTCTGCTCGAATTCATGCAGCTAGCCATGTGAGAGCTTACGGAGAGCTGTCATTTGAACTGGTGACAACTTGTGGTGTCAGACAGGGATGCCCACTATCCTCATTTTTATTCAATTTCATCACATATGTACTAATGGACTTAACCCTAACTGACTTCAATGACTCAGGGATTGACTTGTTACCATCATGGAATAATCTCATTGACTTAGAATATGCAGATGATATAGTCCTCCCTGTTAGGTGAAGACGTTGAAAAAATCCTGCAGAGTCTTCTGAATACCTTGACCTGCAATCTGCGAATGTTTGGCATGCGATTCGCTCCCACCAAATGTAGGATGATGCTACATGACTGGAGTACATTGATTACTCCTAGCTTAGAAATAGGAAGTGAGGTAGTAGAGCACGTTGACCACTTCACTTATTTGGGAATTCGCATCAGCTGACACCAGCAGGTCGATCTCTGACAAAATCTCAGCACGGGTACAGAAGCCTCGTTTGGCATATGCTCGCCAACTTACGCCATCTCTGGCTTGGTATACGTGACATCCGGCTTACTGGCTGTCAACCAAAGGAAGTGTGTACTGCTTAACAGTTCACTACGTCCTGTCTAATGGCTATGAGTGAGATACGGTCATTGGAAGTGAAAGACATGAAAAGGTTATCTAGCTGTCCAGCTGTTGCCATTCGAACTACTGCACATCTGTGCAAGTTCCCATGCTGCAACCAGTCAGTCAATCAGGTTTGAATGACCCATTCATGTATATAAATGTAGAATAACTGATGACTGCGGTGATCGGAATGCTAAGAATCTCTTCAATCGCCTCAGCGTGTTGAGATTGTATGACTCAAAATTGTTCTTGTGATTATCCCTCGGATCTACTGGACCGTCATGTTTTTCCATGTTACTGTTATTTCTCTCGCGGAAATTTCTGTCCATGATATAGTTCTTTTACTATTGGAGTGTGTGGCACTCCTGTGCAAAGTTCTTCGTTGAAATTCAGTTGATCGAATTAATTTATCAAATAACTCAGCAACCAGTCATACATTCCTATGCAGTTAACTGACTGACTGACTGTTTTCAACATAGAACTTTGCACTGATGTGCAGCAGTTCAAGTCGCCACACTCCCCCCCCCCCATGTAGGACACAAGGCAAGAGATAAAAGTAAAAAGAAATGCAAAATAGAGACAGTAAATAGGAAATACTGAAGAACAATACAGTTTCATTGGGTATTATAAGTCCCAAGGAGTGGATGCATCTGCTCCATCATCGAGAATGATTTTGAGCCATATTACCAATTGTCTCCAGCCGCCATTGGTGTTTACCGTCCTGAAGACCCCAACCAGTCAGGAAGCTAATCTACACCTCCCTTTGTGACTGGTTTGAACTAACTGTTGTAGATTTCATTGACTGATGAAGACTTTTTTCGGTTTGGTCACCAGTAGCTTTCTCTTTTCCAACCTGATCCATGCTATGTCAGTTAGCTAACATTGCCCGTCGAGGAAGGCGATCGATGGCTAGGCAGGCGTGCATAACACATATCCTAACCATCTCAATCGGTGTAACTTCACAGCCTCGTCGATTGATTTCCCCTCCCACATACCTAGCACTAACTAGACAGATGACTAACCTCAATATTGCTCACCTTACCATACCACTTCACACGGGATACAGAACGCAGATACCTATGATCAAAGACAGCTAGCCGGCCTTTTCATGTCTTCCACTACCAATGACCATGTCTCACTCACAATCATAAAGGAGGACAGAGCGAACTGTTGAGCAGTACACTCGCCCTTTAGTCGACTGCCAGGCAGAGGGATATCACGTCTACTAAGCCAGAGATGGCATAAGTTGGTGTATGCTAAATGAACCTTCTGTATCTGTGGTGAAATTTCGTCAGCAACTGACCCGTTAGGTCTGATGCAACTCCCCAGATAAATGTTAGGGCATCAGCTAGGTGGTTGAATAGTTAGCAGGTTCACTATATAACTTGGAGGTCATGAGTTAGATCCCCGGTGGGTTCATTGGTGAACATTGTTGAAAACTTCTTAAATTCTGATGTAATAACTGCTCATTGAATAATGTCTTGAGTACAACATACATCGAAATATGATTCTGAATACACGTTTGTTCAGTTAAAGAACTACTGAAAACCACGGAGTATTGGACAGTTTTTTTATCTTCCAAATCTGGTACTGTTCAGTAGTTGCCAGTAACACCGGGGATCGATCAAACCCAGAACTCTCAGGTTACGAGGTGAGCGCCCATTGACCATTCCATCCACTGGGGTAGAATCCAATGGTCGTCTCATTACTTTCAACTTTTGTCAATGAGTGATGTGATTTGATTAAGAGGCTGATATCAGTTGTCAGAGATTATATTATTATTATTGTTTCCTGTAATTCCTAGAAAAACATAGGACTTCAGCCATGCGTCTCCATTGCGTTCGGCTCTCTGCTAGAGTCTTCACCTGGCTCCAAGTCTGCCCACATGTTTTCATCTCCTCTTCACATCACCTCCTCCAAGTCACCCACCCTCGCACTGACGACCAACTCGCCGCTTCCCTTTCGACCGGGTTCCACTCGAGCAATGGCTTGTCTAGTGATGTCACTTGATGGTTTCCTCAGAGTATGGCCAGCCAATCCATCTCCATTTCTTCCTGTCTATTTGTATCACAATTGGTTCACTCCCAGAGATCTCTGTTGCTTATCTTTTCTGGCCGGCCATCTGATCTTGAGTGGTATTGAGCGAAGACAACTGTTAATGAAGGTCTGTAGTTTGTTTGAGATGCTCTTTATGACGCGTCAAGTCTCTGATCCATGTAGTAGCACTGACTGACTTCACATTGGAGTTGAAATTTCGGATCTTATTTTTCATGCTGAGTGCTGTTGACCTCCACACAGACTTGAGAGTAGTGAAAGCTTGTCTTGCTTTTCCGATTCTTGCTTTGATATCCTCGTCAGTTCCGCCAGTAGTTGAAATGATGCTTCCCAGGTAGTTAAAGAGGTTGTTTCTTTCAGGTTCCTTCCATTTATGCTGATCGTTGTCTGTTGTTGTTGTTCTTGTCCAGGAATCTTCATCACCTCTGTTTTCTCTAAGTTCACCTGAAGGCCTATCTTTGATGCTTCTTCTGCCAAATTGTTGGTTTTCGCTTGCATATCCTCCAGAGAACCACTGGAAAACTAGTAGAGAGTACTGAACAGCTGTTTTGCTCCAGCTCGCGACTTTTCAGTAGTACTCACACTCGCCGGGGTTCGAACCAAGAACCTTCCGGTTACAAGGCAACTTGGTAAGCTTTGTCTACCACTTCTCTCTGAATAGTCTACCTACGAGTTTGCCTTGTAATCGAAAGATCCTTGGTTCGAACCCCAGCGAGTGCATACTATTCAAGAGTCCTAAACTGGGGCAAAACAGCCGTAACCAATCAAATCTCTGCAAAACCAACACCCATTATCAACCAACACGAATAATTAAAGAAAATAAAAACAACTGCTTACAAGTAGACTTCATCATTGGTGCAGGGAATGTCAACATTGGATTAGGATTGGTGAATTGATTCGATGATGGTGGGAAATTTGAAAGCATCAATTGATTTGATGACGTGTTAATATTACTATTCAACAGAAATGGATTAGTCGGCTGTACTGTTGGATTAGTTGGTGGGATAAAAGGAACAAGTGATGTTGATAATGATGAATGCGCCGCAGGAATATAGAATTGTGGAGTTGTAGAGCTCAATCCACCACTAAATGGAGATGGTGTTGTCGAGATATCATTGAGATCTATAAAGAAGAGTAAATTTAACATCCATCAATTAGTGAGTATATATTTACAGAGCATATTCCGAGAAACTTATGCTCGAAAGGAAGCAGATATTTACAAAGTGCAATTACCAGACACACCTTGTGGATACGGGTCATTTTGTCGAGATTTCTAAATCCTTCAAAATATTAAACATACAATGGACAGCGAATTTACCACGATTTACTGCTGAAGCAATTGCAATCAAACATCTCAGACCAAACTTATTCACACAGAAAGAGGGTGTAGTCAATCTCTCACTCCCTTGGTAACCGTATTACTTTCAATACACTGATTAGTCATACACAATGTTGAGCTCAGCTCACTGAGCAGGTTTTCAATTTGATGAACTTTAACCTTCTCGAGTTGCTATGTTGACGTACAAGCTAACACTGTTTATTAGATTTTTCTGTCTTCTCTCACCCCCTTTTTTCATAATTTGATAGTATATAAAAATTTTAATACTTATATTCCGGATGCGTTCATCTTATAATATTTTCTCTATTACCTCTGAAACATTGAAGTATGAGACGTTATTACTTATAACCATTGTAATTTCAGGTAGTTTGCAGCTGATGAGGGTAACCGGTGAAATAGAATGATGATATCATTTTATACAGCAAATGTAGTCTTTCTTTCTCTATCGAAATTTATCAAGGGAACCAAATGTATGACACAAACCGCTGTTGTTCTTCCTTTATTCAAAAATTCAATTTTAAAACGAAGCTATATTTTGATTAATAATATTTCCACCCCGATATTTTTTTTTCTTGCAGAATAGACCTTCATTACTGTGGGAATCTGCTACACTCTCCACCCTGAACAACAAGATTCGGATTCTAATCAACACTACTGTCAAATCATTCAGTGCTTCCTCTATATCGTGAGCGTTTCACCCCCAAAAGCATCTTCAACCGGCTATTGCAGACTTTTATCCTTTCCTTGGCTCCATACTGAATATCAATCCGACGGACGGTCAGAAAGGATTAGCAACACAAGGTGACGTGAATCAACTAACGACCTAACATCCAACAAATATGCAGGATGAGGTGGAGATGAATCGGACACACCGGTTAAGGAGACCGTCGAGTGATACTCGAACAGGCACGGCTACAAGAGTGGTATGGAGGACGAGGGGAAGCTTATATGGGCAATCGTGAAACCAGTTAAAGAGAACAGTAGAGAATAGGAATAAATGCGGGGATGTGTTGTTGTAGTTTTGTGTGTTCGACTCGGAACTCAAAGGAATAATCCTGATGATATCTGTGATCGGGACTAGTCAACATTTCACCTAAATTGGTAAAAATTGTGATCGATATAAGAATAAAACTTGGGCACTGTGGTAAAATTTATTTTGATATTTACTGATGACCATGATTTGAGCACAATTTATTATTGCTCATTATCAAATCAGGGCAGTAATCACATAACTTTCCGACTTCGTTTATATAATTCCATCACTATTTTTCATCGCTTGACTTAATTGGTAGTAGTAGTATTTTCCATATTTCCGGTATGAGTGATCAGTCATTCCTATTGCACGTGTGTTGGGTGTAGATTACTCGATGAACCAGGATTCAGTAATCAATCGTTCTCTCCGTCTCCACCTACCTATATTACTTCGTAGAATTTTAGCCCTCTCACAACCATCCTATTGTGTGCTTGTATGTTAATGCGTGCAGTGCAATTGCTGAGCTTTTTTCTAAATTACTTATCTTCGCGGGATCAATCATTCTTACCTTAGCTAAATCCTTCTGTTCTGATAATCTCACTACTCCTGATCTACTAGTTTAACCTATGTAGTTGACCTAACTCACAGTCATTGCAAGGCACTTTGTAAACTATATTATTTTGTATAATTGGGTCCTTTGACCTACAGAGTTCGTCCTACCTGAGTGAGTTTGTAGGTTTGAGTGCCGCTCTAATTCCTGCTTTACTGAGAATCCTACGTATGGCCTCAGATGTCCCCTCACTAAGTAAGTTTTCAATTTGATGAACTTTATTTAGAAAATCAAAACAAATGATTCAGCGAAGAGACTCTTTTCAACGAATTTATCATCAAGCTGTACAATCGTATATATATGGTTTTTAAGAAGTTATATCCGGTGAGGGAATTGAAACATAGGTGTGAATGCATGAAATAATAATAATATGAAGTGCAATTAAAACTAAAATGTTTGTGATTATAATCGTAGTTAAAGGTCAAGTGGCAAAGCAAATTAATGTCATATATAGAATAATTCATAGGATGGATAGAACTTGAAAAAGGTGTGCAATTATAAGATTAGTAGACAAATCGAAAAAATAAAAACGTTACGTAATATTGTGTGAAATTTAATAGCATAGAATTTAATGTTGCATAAAGGAATTGATTTAGAATGACAAGTGGAACAAGTGAAATAATACCGGGGACAATTAAAAATGAGAGTAGTAATAGTAACAATTGACTTAATAAGGAAGAGTATACAAATTGAATAGACAAAAATGAAAAAATGAAAAAATGGAGAGTTGGTAGAGCTAAAGTATGATTGGGGATTACCATACTTTAGCATAGAGGGATTAAGACCATGAAAGTTGGAGGGGTTGAACGAACTTCTTCTGTACACAGAGATCTGGCTTTTCTGTTTCGATAGCCAAAGCTTCAGCAATACAGATGAGTCGGGTACGTAGGGATTTGGGTAGATTACTCTTTGCCTTGTAGATGACTTTGAAGGCGGAGGCTATAGAGATAGGGTGATCATTCTCGACCAGATGTTCAATGATCGCGCTTCTTATTGCTCCACTACCACCTTTTCGTAACCATGCAGGATAGTGTTCTTGCACCCTCTTGGACAAAACTCGTGTCGAACGACCGATATACCTAGCTCCACAAGAGCAGGTGAATTGATAAACACACATAGAGTTGGTCAACAGCGGGATTTTGTCCTTCAGGTTATTGAACAATAATGGTCGACTAGAAAAGGCTATTCTCAGGGATGCAGCAGGGAATGTTCTTTTCAGGGATTGTGATATCCTCCGTTTCATGATATCGGAAGCTAAGTCCCCTTTGAATTCCAAGCTCATGTAAAGTGTCTTCTTGGGTACGGTTGATAACTCACGTTTTTTAGGATTTGAATGAATATTCTTATCTATAAAACGTGGTGGAAATCCATTTTCTATTAGGACTTTCCTCAAGATGTATAGCTCATCTTCCACACTATCAGGGCTACATATGCGCCGAATACGAGTGGCAAGCGACCGGATCAGGTTTCGTTTTCGACCAATGGGTACCCAACTGTAGAAATTTGTCAGTTGACCATTCCATGACAGCTTGCGATAAATCGATCTGGTCGAGAATGATCACCCTATCTCTATAGCCTCCGCCTTCAAAGTCATCTACAAGGCAAAGAGTAATCTACCCAAATCCCTACGTACCCGACTCATCTGTATTGCTGAAGCTTTGGCTATCGAAACAGAAAAGCCAGATCTCTGTGTACAGAAGAAGTTCGTTCAACCCCTCCAACTTTCATGGTCTTAATCCCTCTATGCTAAAGTATGGTAATCCCCAATCATACTTTAGCTCTACCAACTCTCCATTTTTTCATTTTTTCATTTTTGTCTATTCAATTTGTATACTCTTCCTTATTAAGTCAATTGTTACTATTACTACTCTCATTTTTAATTGTCCCCGGTATTATTTCACTTGTTCCACTTGTCATTCTAAATCAATTCCTTTATGCAACATTAAATTCTATGCTATTAAATTTCACACAATATTACGTAACGTTTTTATTTTTTCGATTTGTCTACTAATCTTATAATTGCACACCTTTTTCAAGTTCTATCCATCCTATGAATTATTCTATATATGACATTAATTTGCTTTGCCACTTGACCTTTAACTACGATTATAATCACAAACATTTTAGTTTTAATTGCACTTCATATTATTATTATTTCATGCATTCACACCTATGTTTCAATTCCCTCACCGGATATAACTTCTTAAAAACCATATATATACGATTGTACAGCTTGATGATAAATTCGTTGAAAAGAGTCTCTTCGCTGAATCATTTGTTTTGATTTTCTATATGTTACAATGGGAATTTTCCATGATTTAAAAAATAGCAAAGAACTTTATTTAACCTTGTTGAGTTGCCATGTTGACTTACAAGCTAACAGTGTTTATTAGATTTTTCTGTTTGCTGTCTTCTCTCATCCCCTTTTTTTTCATTATTTGATAGTATATAAAAATTGTAATACTTATATTCTGGATGCGTTCATCTTATAATATTTTCTCTATTACCTTTCAAACAATGAAGTATGAAATGTTATTAATTAAAAACATTGCAATTTCAGGTAGTTTGCAGCTGATGAGAGTAACCTGTGAAATAGAATGATGATATCATATTTTATACTGCAAATCTGGTCTTTCTTTCTCTATCGAAATTTATCAAGGGAACCAAATGTACGAAACAAACCGCTGTTGTTCTTCCTTTATTCAAAATTCAATTTTAGCTTACAGAACTTGTCTCTGAGTTGCTTTGTAGGTTTGAGTGCCACTCTAATTCCTGTTTTATAAAGAATCCTACGTAGAGAGGTTCTCAGATATCCCCTCCTTATATGGTATAACAGTAGATGACTTATATTCTCTCTTATTCATGTTATCATTGTTAGTTTCACAATTATTTTTATTTTGCTTTTGACCTTTTCTGAACTTCCTAATGAATTTTATAGGATCGTTATTTCATTTCATCGTGTCGGTTTTTTGTTGTACTACTTAGTGCTACTGCTCGGTTTGTTACACACTTAACTAAGCCAGCCTTTACATACAACAGATGAGATGAATTAAAGTCTAAATATCTACTAGAATGCGTTGGCATTTTATAAACGCTAGTGTGCAGTTTACCTTCCTCTGTTCGTTTTATTTTAAAATCTAGCATGATAGCTAATTCTCCTTGTTCATTCTCCGATTCATATGTGAATTTTATTCCCTCTACTAGTGCGTTTATATATGTGTGTGGAGAAACTAGAGAGAGAGATGTTCTGTTAAGTAAGCTTGCTGCAACACAGAGTGAGAGCTGGATAAATAAGTGGTTGTATTCCTACTTTTCTGATAGGAAGCAGTACACTGTCTACAATGGAAAGTCCTCCTCTACCTCACTTACTTTAGCTGGTGTTCCTCAAGGTGCCGTTCTTTCTCCTTTTCTGTTTTCTTTTTTCTTACATGACTTGCCCCATTCTGATATAGCCACTTTTGTCAAGTATGCTGATGACCTCTCTGTCTCCATGCCTGTCAACTCTCAGTCAGACTGTTCCATATTAAATAAATTTCTCTCGGAAATTAGTCAGTGGTCCTCTTCAAACGGTCTTAAGCTGAATCCGTCTAAATGTCAGGTAGTAAATTTTACTTTCAGACGAAAAAGTGACCTTCAACAACTAGCTAGCTCATATGGTCCCACTATCATAGACGGCATAGAGGTTGAAACTACATCTAATGTCAAGTACCTTGGACTGAGTATTTCCTCCGATCTTTCCTGGTCCTCTCACATCTTGCTAGTGACTAGAAAGATGTTTCGCTTAACGTTCTACCTTAGGAAGTTTAGGCAGTCTGGTATAAAGCAGTCTTTACTTTCTCAGTTTGTCAATTCCTGTATTCTACCCATCCCTCTTTACTGCTCCCCATTAATCTTTCCAGGACTACTTAAGAAAGACTTTGCTTCGCTGCGTAGGGTACTAAAAGCTGTTAGTAGGGCAAGTGGGATTTCGTTAAACCAACTGGTTAACACTATTGTGGATAGACACATAATGTCATGTAAGAAACTAGCGAATTCTATATAGTCAGACCCCGAACACCCTCTCCATACGCAGCTCTCTCCTTGCATTTCATCTGGTAGAACTAGAAGCAACTATAGGAAGCTATATGCCAGGACTACCAAGTATAAAAACTCCACAATACCTTATCTGGCACAGCTGTTATGTGATGAGAAAACTGTTAGGCATGACACGATCACCTTACTGCGGCACTCTAACAAATAGTTCCCATTAGCTTTTGTTCTCCTTTCTTTGTTACTATTATATTGTTGCTAACATATTCTATTACACACTAATTTTATATTTCATATCCTGTGGTGCATTGTTTAAATATGTGAATACAATGTTGTTCTTTTTTATTTCTTTTTTCTTTTTCTTGTTGTTGCATTTTATTTTTAAAAAATCTTATAAAAATTTATGAGGTAATTAGATGCAATATTGTAATGCAAGCTGAAAATTCCATACCTGTATCACAAATACTGTTTGGAATAAAGCTATTATGATTATTTTTTAACACTGTTAGTGATAGTGTCATCCACATATCTCCACCATATTTTTGGAGTAGGATTAAATGTTGTGTTAAGAGCAGTATTTTCCCAGCTGTCCATAAAGATATCTGGTACAATAGGTATCCACGCCATTGCTACACCTTCTGTTTGTCTATATCTTTTGCCCTGAAGTCATTCCTATTGCAAGTGTTGGGTGTAGAATTGATGAATGCACTGCATACATTAACACACAACCACACATAATAGAGTGGGATAGCGTTAAAATTCTAAGAAGTAATATAGGTAAATGCAGAGAGACAGGGGTTGATTACTGAGTCCTTGTTCATAAAGCCTACACCCAACACATGCAATAGGAATGACTCATCACTCATACCAGAAATATGGAGAATACTACTACCAATCAAATCAAGCGATGAAAAATAGTGATGGAATCATATAAACGAAGTTAGAAAGTTGTGTGAATGTGTACCTTGATATGATTATGAGCAGTAGTAATAAATTGTGCTCGAAACGTTGTCATCAGTAAATATTACTGTATACTGTACACACTGTGAGACTTTATCAAAATAAATTTCACCCATAATGAAAGAATTGTGGATCCTTTATGCACACACATTAGGTAAACTACGGTCTTCTTATCTAATTTTGTCACAATTTATTTGTATATAAAGGGAACTAATATTAGATGGTTGGAGGCAATCGGCCACAGGAAGCCTTGGACACAACCTAGGTTTCGAGCTAGTTGGCACTCACCAGTCAGTCAGCAAGGCATCACTAGTGTCCAATCAAAGTATCCACTACAATCCTACAGGAGGTCAATCGCGAGCCCAAATAGCTCAGTGGTAATGTCTTTACGTCGCTAAGCCAGAAATAAAGCTGGCAAAGGGGAAAGGTTGGGCATGAGGCTATTAACCTCATCCTGTAAAAGCAGACACTGCTAAAGAAACTTCAAGCCTCTAGATTGAAGCCCTATGTTCCACTGGGAACGTGAAGGAATAAAAAAATGTCTCTCACTGCAGCACTGGGTGACACGGGTTAGAATCTTAGGACGAGGGACATGAGTTCCTTCAAGGTTGCAGATACACCCTGCTGACGAGTGAGGGCCAACTAGCACGAAATCTAGGTCCAAGGCTTCCTGCCGATTATCCACAACCATCTAATATTATCAAATCAATATGCACCGTGATGATGAGCTACCTAGAATGGTGACCACATAGCAAACCTAACTGACTGATAGAATTCAGGTATGCATTAAAGAATAAGACTAGACGCATAACACTAATTACTGACTAGTGAGTGTCCAATCAAAATAAAAAGGGAACTTATCGCCTTCAAAAAAAAAGAATCAGTCACCAAATAAACAAAACACCCAACAACAACAATAACTAACCACCACTTACCGAGTAGATTTTGTTCAGTTGAATTCTGTGGATTACCCGCAGCAGTACGACCACCGCTTGTGAAATCATCTGCTGTAGATAATTTCTCATAACACATTAGATCAAGAAATTTATCACTATCTGTAGTAGTAGCAGTAGTTGATGATCCACTCGATGAACCATAATGATTTGCTTGCTGCTGGTGTTGTTGTTGATTACTATGATCCGACGAATAAGCATGTTGTCGTGCTGTTGATACAAATGCCTCCAATCGTGCTCTTTCCTCTTCAATAATTCGTTGACGTTCAGCTGGAGTAAGAGTGAATTCCCCTCCTCCTCCATTATCTTGATTATAATATGCTAGAGTAGATTCAGATTCATTCGCTGTTTTTGATGCAGATAACGTGGATGTGATTGGATTGGTTTGTGATTGTTGTGGAGATGGATTACTTGGCGTTTTTCTATTTAAAGTAGAAGTAAGTAAGTAAGTTAGTAAATAAGTAGTATGGATTGATTTAAGAAGTGATCTGCAGAAGCCCAAAGGATAACATCCCGCATCTGACCACTACTTTTATGTGTATATATCAGTTCACCTGTAGCTGTGGAGTCAGCCAGGTGCATCGGTCGTTCAACGCGCATCCTGTCAAAAAGGGTCAAAGGACACTATCCAGCGTGGCTGCAGAAAGGAAGTAATGGCTGCATAAGGAGTGCAATAATAGAACATCTCGTCAACACTGGTCATTCCATCTCAACAAATGCCTCCTTCAAAGTAATCTAAAAATTGTGGAACAACCTGCCAAAGACAATACGTTTCCGTCTTCTTTGCATTGCAGAAACCCTAGGCCATTCAGCTGGAAGAACCAGAACTATGCATACAAAAGAAAATTATTCAACCACTTCTCTCTCCGTTGGTTTGACTTAACTTTTGTTTGTATGCTTATGTTTCTTAACTACTTAAAACTCTTACGTTATCCCGTATGTTATTTTGTTTCCATGTACACCCTGAGCACAACTCTTTCATTAAACTATTCACGTTATTAAGTAACTCTTCTTTAACAATTGATTGTGACAACTCATCACTTTCGTTACTACTCTCTTATATCAACATCCAACTCATCTGAACTTACTAACTGTATTTTCGTTTGACCAATTTAATGTACACACACACATATAAAACAACCATGTATATATTTGCGATTGTACAGCTATGAAAATGAATTCGCCGCCGAAAAGAGACTCTTCGCTGAACTACTGGTCTTCTGTCTATTAATGATTTAAGAGTTGTTTTTTTGTGTTTGTTGTTGTAATACATAAGCGATAATTGAACACCTACCTAGTTGTCAACACACTGGTCATTCCTATCTCAACAAACTCTACCCCTCCCCTAAGCATACTAAGTATTCTCTGCAATTATTTATTTATTTATTTAAACGCAGAAAAACTTGGTACAATATGGCACCAAGAAGATGCGCCACACAATAATAATGAAACAACATAGATTAAAAGTAAAAATATGGGTGGAGAAAGGAAAAAAAACTTCATCAGGAAGGAAAACAATCATTCTTAACATGTTTAAACAACATTCGTCAACTATCGTCGGGAAGGGAAGAAAGAAGGAAGTCGCAGCACGTTCGCCATTGACGATTACGATTCCTGACGCACCGACCGATGACGCTTGATAGGAAGCACCTGGTCAGGGCTATGAACGTCTAGCCAAATGAGAGTATTTCGAGAGGAAAGCTAAAGTCTATCCACCATTATTTACCAAAATAGGAACTGTGGTTTCCCTTGTCATTTGTCAACTTTCATATACGCACACAGCCCGGCAGAATTATGATATATTGCATGCAGAATAAAAATCCCAGTGAAAGTTGTCGAAAGATACGTTTTAAATGCTGGTTTGTTACATACAGTAATAAAAATTGATCAGTAGGAAGGGAAAATGCATATCACTGGATGATAATGAGGGCTTCAATAACATTATTGTTTCCTTGAGATGCCGTATACAGAAAGAGCATTAGTGTTATATGACGGCAGAACCCAAAGGACAACTTTCAGGATCAACCTTTCCTAATCCCCTTCCTTCCTAGAGCGAAGAGGTAGCATAAATAGTTTGCTGGTAATCATCTGAAGTATACACCACCTTACTGCTGTTACATCCCTAATCTCCAACAGTACAACTTCGTCCAAAGAACTCCAGCATAGTGTAAAAAAATCTTACAGTATGACAGGGAGTAAGATAAGCTGGCTGCCTACTATCTCCAATGATTTTCCTGATTGTGGGCAGTAGACTGGATAATGAGACAGACAGCGAGCAACGACGAGACTGGCATAAAATGGACCCACACAAAAAACTTGGAGGATCTGGACTTCGCTGATGATATATGTCTGATTTCCCACAAACTGGAAGATATACAAATGAAAAGTAACAAGTCGGTGACAGAAGAAGCATCAAAGATAGGACTTTCTTCAGGTGAACATAGGGAAAACAGGGGTGAGGAAGATTCCTGGACAACAGCAACGGCAACAACAATAGACAAAAATCAGCAAACTCCTTCACCTACCTACCTACCCTGGAATCATCGATTCAACTACAGGTGGAAGTGATGAGGGTATCAAAGTGACGATCGGGAAAGCAAGGCAAGCTTTCATTGCTTTCAAGTCTGTGTAGGGATCAACAGCACTCAGGATGAAAAATAAGATCCAGATCTTCAACTCCAATGTGAAGTCAGTCAGTGCTACTATAAGAATCAGAGACTTGGCGCGTCACGAAGGGCACTTCAAACAAACTACAGACCTTCATCAACAGATAGCTGTCATCGCTTAAGGTCAGATGACCGGACAGAGATCAGCAACAGGGAGGGATCTCTGGTAATGAACGAACCAACCCAATCCAACCCAACAGGAACCAATTGTGCAACAAATATGCAGGAAGAAATCGAGGTGGATTGGCCGCCATACTCTGAGAAAAAAAACCATCAAGTGTGTGACATCACATGCCAGGCCATCACTCGAGTGGAACCCGACCGAATGGGAAGCGGCGAGTTGGTCGTCAGTGTGAGGATGACATGGAGGAGGAGGAGGTGATGTGAAGATGAGATGAGAGCATGTGGGGAGACGTGAAGTCAGGTGATGAAAACGTTGTCAGAGAATCGAACGCAATGGAGACGTGCGGCTGAAGCCCTATGTTCCTCTAGGAATTAAAGGAAACAATAATAATAATAATGACAGTGACCACTTTTTGTCTAACTGCTATCCAAACGACCTTTGTGACATAGTAGGACCTACAGGAATTTTCGTTCCAAACAGTGTAGCTCGTTGGGGGTCATGACGATATGCAGGGTAGACCACCACATCAAGGTAGCAGCTATCAGTCGGTCACTACTACTTGGATTTCATTACCACTGACTTTAATCAGTAGCTTTAATACACTGTATGACGATGATGATGGGAAGCTTAGAATGGGGGAGGGGTTGGATAGTGTACGATCATGAGCAAGAGAAGTTACTAATACACATATATAAAAAAAAGTGGTAGATGCACAACAAATGAACACACTTACTTGTCACCTTGTTTATGAGCTTCTAAGTAGGCTAAATGTTGTTCAAGAGCTTCTAATACAGACGGTGGTACCTGAAATATTGTACATATGTATGTATGCATGTATGAATTCATGTTAGAACAAGGCAATCATTATTTATACATGTTGTATACTGTACAATAATAATATATGAAATCACATACGAACACATTTATAGGGAATGAAATAAAAAAAGCTCGTTTCACCATCTCTAAATTTACTTAATTTTTGTGTCTAAGGCATAATTTAAATCTGCATTTTTCACATCGACTCGACCCTATTGAATTTTCTATGTATGTATAAATCCCAAAATGTCACAAAGTAATTGTGTAGGCAGGTGAAGGTCAGAGTGAATGAACATAGACTATGCACGAAACGTCCACCTAGAAATGAATTAGAACTAAACAGTCTAGAAAAAAGATCGGCTATAGCAATGCATGCGATAGACAACGGACATAAGATTGATTTCGACAATGTCGAAATTCTTGGAAGAGGATTTCATTCACATTCTGAAGTCTTGCACATTTTAACCACATCGAATGCAGGGAATAGGAAAGAAGGGATAGACTTATCACCTATATGACAAACTCTTATGAAGCAAGACAAATGAAAATACAATAAACACTCTATGAGCCCCCATGACCTTTTAAAACATGTTTATCACATATGAATTCATGTATTTTCCATATGACAAATAACATACATACACACACACACACACACTCATACAAAACTAATCTGTACAAATCAACTGTAGAAGAGTGAACACAACAACAACTTGACATTAGTCATTACAAACATATGTGATGACTGCTTACATATTTTCTATTGGTAAAAATGTCCATGGACAAATGACCTTCAAATAAACTGACTTCAATTTATGTAAAATTTTTGACTATATATTTTGATGATTAATAAAAATCGGAATAAATCTGCTGAAGAAGCTGTGGCTTACACAGCGAAACGTTCAGAAAACTGATCTTGTTTTGATTCTCTTAACACGCTGGGATTAATTTAAATAAGTTATAATGAATCAATCTGCCTCGGCACTCACATTATTCCAGGAAGTTCGTAACACCTACGACCTGGAAACCTATATGTATAAATTCATTTGGATGGTGTTGTTATTCATAGAAGACGGAGATTATCTCAAAATTAATGTGGAATGTATTTGCACTATAGACATTTCGAACAACAATCTGGTGATCCCTCACACACACACACACACTTACTTGTTAAGTCGATATAAATGTATAAGGGGCAATTAAATTAAACAAAGTGACAAAATAAAGGATTTAAGAATGATTAACACAATGTTTGGTAATCCAATCAAATAAGGATTACCAAGGTAGTAAGTAGGTTAAGAGTAATAATAAACTGTTTTTGAACACGCACGGGGTGGGGAGGGCTTAAGTTTATGAATAGCTATAGCCTCAGCGTATTTCAATAAGCGCTCGCTCTTGATAATTTTTATAGATGACCTTAAAAGCTTTGTTAACATCTCAACTGGAACTCTAATGGAAAGCGGCGAGTTGGTGGTCAGTGAGAGGGTGACATGGAGGAGGAGGTCATGTGAAGAGGAGAATAAAAGCATGTGAGCAGATGGGGAGCCAGGTGAAAACGTTGTCGGAGAACCGAACGCAATGCAGACGTGCGGCTGAAGCCCTATGTTCCTCTAGGAACTAAAGGAAATAATAATAATAATAATGATAATGGTTCATCTCGATTAGACGTCTGGCTATAGACGAAGTTGGTAGTCTGCCACCTGAGTCTGCACAAATCATCTTCTGTGTTTCTAACCAATTCGGGATACGCTCGCTCTCCCACCCTCACATGCAAAGCACGAATACCCCCTCTTTCTATGTATAAATGGTCAAGGGCGCTTATTGAAATACGCTGAGGCTATAGCTATTCATAAACTTAAGCCCTCCCCATCCAGTGCGTGTTCAAAAACAGTTTATTACTACTCTTAATCTACTACTACCTTGATAATCCTTATTTGATTGGATTACCAAACATTGTGTTAATCATTCTTAAATCCTTTATTTTGTCACTTTGTTTAATTTAATTGCCCTTTACATATGTCGACTTGACAAGTAAATGTGTGTGTGTGTGTATGTGAGGTTGTTGTTCGAAATGCATAAGCGAAAATACATTCCACATTATTTTTCATATAATCTCCGTCTTCTAAATAACAACAACACTATCCAAATTTATATTAAAAGGACTCATTGTTGTAAATTCATTCTGTTATATCGATTTTGTATTCTCTATTCTCTCTAGTCACTCTGTATTTCTATGTCAAACAGATTTGAACTCTATTCACTCCCCATTTTTTGTCTCATCATTATGCTACTATAAATAGTTAGCGCCTTTTCAACACACTGATGAATAATTTGTCCTGTGGAGCCAGTTACATAGGCCGTACAATTATGCGTGTTTCGCATTGAAATTCCGAACATCACCCTGCCTGGTTAAGCAAAGGACAAACAAAATCTATTCGCAGCGCTATTCTTTCTCATCTTGTGGATACAGAACATAAGATCGATGTTAACAAGGCGGCTTTCAGGGTCATTTACCGCAAACCAACGAATCTCAATTTCGCCTTAAGAGTTCGACTACTAGATATTGCTGAGGCTGTGGGGATCCATTTTAATAAGCCTAATTTATGCATCCAAAAGAAGTTACTTCAGACATTATCCTTACCCCATTGGCCATCTAGGTTTGAATGGTCCTCATCTTTTTGTGGAATTTTTCTAATTTATTTGATATTCTAGTTGCCATCTTTATTATTATTATTATTATTATTATTATTATTTAAGCATCTCTAATGAACTGTAATTCCATTGTGATCTTACCTTACAAATCGATATTATTTAAGCAACACTAATATTGTTATTGACTACTAATCTAGAATATTCTATGTATATAAACATATACGTATATAATTGTAAAGCCTGGAAGAGGAATTTATCGAAAAGGATATTCTTCTTTGTTCAATTCTTTTGTGTTTCATAGATGTCTGAATGAATATTTTTGCTATATTTCTATCTGTAATAACTCGACGACGTCATACTGTGACAAAAGTATATTCAGACAGACTTTTTGTAGGTTATAGCTTCGACATATACAACATTCAGTTTTATTAGCTAATGGTTATCGAGAAAAATTTATCAATTGTCGCGGTAGGGATAGATCACATCTAGAAAAGACAGCTTCCGTACCAAAGAAAGCTATCTTTATTAACCTACCTACTATTCAAGGTTGATCGAATTATGCAGTTGACAGCTAGCTCAAAGACTTCGGTCAGCCATCAAGCGGACATTCTACACCGCATCTCTTTCCCTCAAATCTAGAACATTTTCGATCTGTGTACTTGCGATTAAAGAACGAAATTCTGTGGACTCTACTTCAAGCTGTGTCTACAAGCTCACCTGCAGTTGTTGCACTAATACTTATATAAGTAGAACCAATAGAATGCTCCAATGTGGTCGTCGAAAAGAACATGTTCCAAGATGGTTATTAAAACATATGGAAAATCCCCGTGGAATTAATCTGAATAGAAATCCATCATCATCATCCATTGCAAAACACTTATTAATGTCAGTCCACAAAATCAATATTAATGACTGTTTCACAATTACTTCGTCACATAACTCTAATTCGAGGCTGTTTATTGAAGGTGATGGAAACACTTTGGGGGATTAATCACATACATCCTAAACTGTGTGTACGAAAAAAAACAATAGACTTCAACCTTCGCCTACCATGAACTTACTACTTGACCTATTTACAAATATGATTGGTCATAAGTAGTATGTACTTTTGTTTTACATAACTGAGTAATTGCCATGCCCTTTATTTTATTTTATTATTGCTAACCATGTTAGTTGCAAAGCGACTGTAACCAAACTACGAAATGATACCATCATCCCGCAAAATTTGTCTTCCAAATGCCTTATTCAAATTTGATATAGTTTTTAGTTTGTTTGCAGTTGACATTAAATCCACAAATATTAAAATATGACCTTATATTATCCTACAAATTATGCATTCGTTCTTTCTTTGTCTGTTCAAACAAATCAAGGAAGTCAGCTTTTATGATATAAGAAGGCATAACTAGAATGGCATGTTTTGATGTTTAACCTAATGTTGGCATACGATACAAATAAATAATGTCCAGTTATATGGGAGTGCATTGCCGATTAATGTAACCACCGATGGCCCTCCTACCGATGCATTCGTCAACCTCACACCCCGTAAAAAAATCAACACCACTGCTGTTGAACCTTCAAAGTCCAAACTTGGAATGCAAAGAAATAAAATAAAGTATGCCAATTTCCTGTGATTTACAGAAACTATTCAAATGTCAATCGACAATAATAATCTTACATTTTGAAATAAATGTCAAATACCTAGCTAAGCTACTTAATCATAATTACAGTAGTATACAAAATAAAGATGAAAATATCTCAGTGAAAATCTTCAACTTCGTCGAGGCTGCATTAGTGAATTATTAACACAATGTTTCTACTTACAGGTTGAAAAGGATTGTTCTCTGAATCCAAAGGCAGAGGTGTACCGCCAGGTTCAGCAGACTGTGTGAAGAAGAAGATTAATACAAAGCATTACATACACATAAATAATACAAGTGGTACTATAAATAATAGGGATATAAAAACTCCAAACTACATGTTTATTTTTATTTTTTTTTTGATTTTTATTTTGATTTACAGCTTGATTCCACACCGTATTTTCAGTACAAGTATGGAATTTTCAGCTTGCGATATCGGTAGCCCAAATTCAGGCCGACCATAGATATCGGGTGTGCGCCGGCAGGGGATCGAACCCCGGACCATGTGCATGGTCGGCGAGAGTCCTAACCACTGTGCCACCGACGCAAGGAAACTTTCTATTTTGATCGGATATCACGACTATCACAAACAACTTACATAGATAATAAAAGATTTTATGGATTTATGCAATGTATTTTTATTCCCTTAGCTCCTGAGTGGAAAATAAGGCTTCACCAAGACATTCCAATGTTAGTCTGATCTCCAAGAATGACCACAAGCCTTTATTTTATTCTCATACGAATCCCTTTATGTCATCCTATTTGAAGGACTGATTGGTGTGTAGAGTCAATCAACGGTTTTCTCAGTGTGTGCTTGCATAATCATCCATCTCGACTAGCCGGCCATGTAATCTACCGTTGACTACGGATTGATATCAGTTAGAGGACTATTGAAAACCAGCTGGGAGTATTGGACAGCTGTTTCATCAGTCTACTTTGGGACTCCTCTTCAACAGCATCAATCCACCTCCAGGGTTCGAACCCATAACTTTCTGGTCACAAGGAAGGCTCGCAGAACATTCAACCAATGAGACCCAATTCAATGGCTAGCCAATGAATCCTAACTTCGACCAATTCGTGATTTTAGCGTGACCACTAATCAATGTCATCGGTGGAAACTCTATCGACACTCCCTACTGGATGGATCTCACTGACCCAGTGAATCCCGTCCCACTGGCTGAATGATATACGAAATTGCGTTGTAACTGGAAGGCCCTGGGTTCGAACCATGGCGGCGGGTGGGTACCGCAGACGATTCCCAAACTGGGCTGACGAAACAGCTGGCTGTCCAGTAATTCCAGGTGGTTTTCAATGGTTCTCTAACTGATATCAATCCGTGGTCGAAACTAAAAAACTAATCTAATCCTTATAAATCAATTCTTGAAATGAAAATGTCATCTACACCACACCACTGTATAATACAAAGTGTCATACATCGAATCAGCATGTCGGAAATTGTCGTTGAAAGTGACAGATATAACAAGGCTGGTTGACTTTGATCGCAAACATTTACCTTCCATCTCTCGGCTTAGATGGTATAATATGCAGAATAATAACGAAGTTATTCCAGTGTTCCTTTGCACGGTTTTGACATGATTGGTTACAGGATTTCATCATGAGCTGACATCAGTTAGAGAACCATTGGAAAACCACTTGGCAGTACTAGACTGCCAGCTGTTTTGTCAGTCTAGTTTGGAGCTCTTCAGCAGCACGCACCCACCATAGGGGTTAGAACCCAGTTCTTTCTGGTTACAAGGCTGGCGAGCTAGCTCGTAGACCATTAAGCCACTCACTGGGACCTGATTCTATGGTCAGTGCATGAATTCCAACTTCTACCAATTCACGATACAGTGCGACTACTAGCCAACACATCGTTGGCGATGATTTATCCACACACACCAAACCTACTGTACCCCACCAGAAACCAGATAAACTGCCTACCTACATGAATATGGCCAGTCACTAGTGACCATCAGATTGACATTCAAGCCATTAGTTTGCAAGAATTTAATTGGTTACACGAAGTTAAGCTTAGAGTGTTAGATAAATAAAGAAGTTGTGAAGCTATATCGATTGAGATGACAGAGACACATGTTAGGAATAACAAATTATCGACTTTTCCCTTTAGGTAATGTGATCTAATATCAAATTCAAGGGGTAGACAGCATCAATCTATGGAGTTTATAACTATTAGCTTGAGCTAGCCACATACAGGGGAGGGACTGGGTTCTTCGAGATACCAAAATACATTTTAATAACTGAAGACTGTTGGTGGTGGTGGGTTACGATATAACTGAAAATTGTCTTTTCGTGACACTTCCACATCCAATGAACCCTTTTCTTTCCTCCCAATAAAACTCCCACTTATTGTAATTATCTCTTTTAATGCATTGCTTCTCTGTTTTCTCTACACAAATTTGTGATTTTTAGTCAAGTATGACAACTAGTTCAGCTGATGAATTTTTGGTGCAAAGTTTTACAGAAGACTCGGTTCGCATATCCTAATTTACGCCGTCTCTGGCTTAGTAGACGTGATACCCGGCTGGTTGGCTGTCTATTGACCAAAGGGCGTGTGAACTGCTCAGCTATCAATTCGCTGCTCTCCTTTATGGCTGCTACTGTGACATGGCCAGCATTGAAATTGGAAGATACGAAAAGGCCGGCTACCTGTCTTTGATCATAGGTGCCTGAGTTCTATCTCCTGCGTGAAGTGATATAATAGGGTGAGCAATATTGAGGTTAGTCATCCATTCAGTGAGTGCGTCGGTGGCACAGTGGTTAGGACTCTCGTCGACCATAAACATGGTCCGGGGTTCGATCCCCTGCCGACGCACACCTGATATCAATAGTCGGCCTGCAAAATTTGGGCTACCGATATCGCAAGCTGAAAATTCCATACTTGTACCAAAAATACTATGTGGTTTCGAGATATAATCAAAAATAAATAAAAAAAATAGGTATGTGGGAGGGGAAATCAATCGACGAGGCTGTGAAGTTACACGGATTGACATGTTATGCATGCATGCCTAGGCATCGCCTGTCACGTATGGAGGTGTAGATTTCCTGCCTACCTACCTGATTGGGGTCCCTGGGATGGTAAAAAACAAATGAAGGCTGGAGACAATTGGTGATATGGGTGGCTCAAAATCATTCCCCATGATGACTGGTGCAGATGCATCCACTTCCTGCGACTTATAATATCCAAAGGAAACTATATTGTTCTTCCATATTACTCTTTTTTGCATTTCTCTTTACTTTCTTCTCTTAAATTTTGGAGGCTACATGAAGGGAGTGTAGCGACTTGAATTGCTGCGTATCGGTGAAAAGTTCTCTTTGTTGAAACCAGTCAGTCAGTCAGCAAAGTTTTACACTGAAAAATTTAGTTCACTTCAAACTGGATATGTGATCAAAGTGCACTTTATTAATATTAGACTCTATGGCGACTTAAACTGCCGCACATATGTGCAAAGTTCTATGTCGAAAACAGACAGACAGACTATGACCATCATATCGATTGATTCGTCAGATCATATTTGAAACACTAAGGCACTAATCAATTAAAACCACTTATAATACTGTAATGAATCTTTACTCTCCCTCCCTCCCTCTCTTTCTTTATTCAAATTGAATTGATCAATTAAAAAAAGAGAGTGCAGGCAGATTAATTAGATAAACATTCTTAAAATGGATTTTTTTCTTTTACTTTACACTGAGTTATAATCATTCAAGTAGATATTCGGAAAGAAATTATGATATTTAATTAATAGAAAGGTATTAAAGACTCTATCTATCATCGTGTACCTTATTGAACTAACCAACCAACCAACCAATCAACTAATCATTGGTTCTTAGTGTTTCTCAAGCATTCTCTAGCCGAGGGGAAAGTCTGTACCTCCATATGTGATTATTTATTATATTATAATTATTATTATTGTTCCTCTGGGTTCTGAGTGAAAAATAAGGCTTCAAAGAGGAGACATGTTCAATTTGTTGTGATTTCTGCTGTCCTATTTAGCAGCTTTGTCCCACGACTCTCCATAATCTCTAATCTTCTCCATGCCACCTTACTACCTACGCCCAGCTCATCGTTTAACCATTAGCGTTCCACTTCAAGATTTACCTGGAGGGCGATGTCAATCAAATGTGTCTCCTCCCCCATTTTCTTCGGCATACTTTTTGAGCAATGAATTCTCGGCTGTTGGTTTTTTCTCAGAGTTTCTTGTTGGTAATTATTTCTGACCGGCTGGCCATTTGATATCAATGTGGAGCTAGTGAAGGTGGCAGCTGTTGATAAAAGTCTCCAACCTGTTGGAAATCCTTTTCATGACACGCTGGCCAAGTTTCTGATCCGCATAGAAGAACTGATTGACTGACTTCACATTTGTGTTGAAAATCCGAATCTTGTTCTTCATACTGTCTCAGTTCAGAAGAATTCCAAACCAGTTTCAGATTGATGAAGACGTATCTTACCTTTCAGATTCTGACGGGCTTTGACATCTTCATCCGTTCGGCCAGTAGTTGTAACAATGCTTCTTGGCTGTAGGAGTGAAGTAACCCCTTTCAAATTCCTCCAGTTGATGGTGATTGGTGCTGGTTGTGGTTGCTGTTGATTGGTCATCTTCATCACCTCCGTGTTCTCTATGTTCACCTGAAGTCGTGCCTTCGCTGCCTGCCTGCTTCTATTGCCGATTTTTTGGTTTGAGTTTGTGTAACTAGCTCAAACCAATAGACTCCGTGTAGATTAGTGATAAGTGTTTCGATTTTACCACTCTCTTAACAACTCTCTTTCACAAACCAGTCATATATCAGCTAACATTTATCGACGAGGAATGCCATGGTTTAACATGTACGGCAGGTGTGTTGTAGCTATCTCAGTCGATGCAGATAATCACAATAGTAGGTCGGGAGTGAGGACAAATACTCACCAGCGATGACATTCGCTAATGGTCGCGCCATATCGTGAATTGGCAGAAGCTGGAATTCATGGGTTAGTCATTAGATAGGGTCCCAGTGGCTTTTAATGGTCTAACAGTTCGCCTTGTAACCGGAAGGTCGTGAGTTCAAACCCTGATGGTGAGTGGGCACTGTTGATGATTCCCAAACTGTCCAGGACTCCCAAATGGTTTTCAATGGTTCTCTAACCGATAAAATCCTCTAACCAATCAATCAAATCCCTACAAACCAATACTTGAATACTAATTAGGATGTTGTATGAGGATTTAGCCGTGGAGTAGTGATTTATGCATCTACTGACATGATAATAGCCATATTGAACAGTTTTGATTGGCTTATTTATGCCTTAACTTTCTGAGAATTTGTAAATATATCATGTATTTTGTGTAAATATACGTTTTTGTCGTTTCGATGATTGTTTTTCCAGTCTAACACATTTGTGTCTATCTCTCAGTGTAGAAAGATAAATAGATTCACAAATGATCAGTGTTAGTTATAGTGTCGTGATCTGAAGGAGCCTTCACAAATCAAGCTGGACGAACCAGCATCTCACTCCTTCATAATGCGGTTGTAATAATATATGTAGTTCAATACTAGTTTATTTACCAGCATAAAAACATTGTACAGCGAGTAGCATTGTACTTATAAGTTTACCCAGTAAATACGTCTGTCTCATTGTTCACTACATAATTTTTTTTCAAAAAATGCTAAAATGGATCGACATAGGGAAGAGAGATCTGATGAAGAGTCCCAAACTAGGACGAAACAGCTTTCCAGTACTCCCAGGTGGTTTTAAAATGGTTCTTTAACTGATGTCAGCTCATGATGAAATCCTCCATGAGATCTTTAAATCGCTAGGTGATATATCCTTATTTATTCTTTGCGTTCCTAGTGGAACATAGGGCTCCCCCTAGCACCTCTCCATTTTTTCTTACCATGTTCTCTGAAGTCTTTCACAGCTAATTGTTCCACCCACCACGGCTCTCATAAGTCTTCATTTCGTCTATGTCACCCTTGAGGTAACGTCTAACGCGTTATTTACCGCACACTCAGGTCACACTCGAGAGCATGGGACGTGGGAAATGGCTACAAGATGTTTGAGGGTGGCAAAGATGCTCAGATTGCAAAAGTAAAAAATGAGAAAATATGGTGCAGAAGTGCTAGGAATTTATTTGTGACAGCTAATTCAATTCTACTGAATTCCTAAACATAATACCAATCATAAAGTTATTCATCATTGGCGTATCTCAGACATCCAAAGGTTACACACCCATTGAAGACTCTTCAGAGAACACGATAATTACTCATTCTGTCATCTAGGGAATGATGACTACCAGTAGTGGAATCCAAGGACGGCGGACTTGGTAGCTGGATGTGTGCATGCAGTCCTCCCCTCCTATTGACTGAGTGATGGTGTTCCATTTTGAGACTCGAACCCCACAAACATCGTCTCATACACCAAATCGAACACACAGCTGATGAGACCCAAATAGAACGAAATGAGCATCTTGGTTTCCACTGCTGCTAGTCACCGCTCCCCCCCCCACCAAATTAATTCATGTTAACTCCTCAGGAATAACATTCCGTTCACCTAACCCTATCATGTTTCGCAAAATGCTTAATATTATGAAAGAGACAGTGACGTTGAAAGCACAAGAGAGGAAAGAAAAATCAACAACAACATGAGATGAAAATACACACGCACAATACACAGTGTTCACATTATTGCATAAATTACCTCAGCGACTTTGACAAATACATTCATTGCTTCCATACGTTTGACAAAACTTTTATATATCTCCAAGGATAAACGACAATCACGTTTAGACATTGTGAAATATCGACCTGTATGTGTATAAGGGTGTGTGTGTGTGGACGGCGGGGGAGAAGGAAATCAAAAAAAAGCGGAAAAGGGGTGTGTGAATATCTCATTACAACAGAATATGATATGAATAAAAAATAAACGTTATATATATGAATACTGTAATTAATGCGCCGGGAATCAATTCATTTACGTCCTAGTAACTGACTGCAAGATACAATTGTGACTGGGATTCTAGGGAAACGACAGAACCACCAGTGGGATTCACCGGATTGGATGCAGAGACAAATACTCAGCAATGACATTAGCTGACGGTCACGCTATAAGTAACGAATTAATAGAAGTTGTAATCCATGGAATATTGAACTTCTACCCAGTGACTGAATTGTCAACAGGTTGCCGTAAACGGAAGGTCCTCCGTTAGGTCTGATGATACCTTGTGGGTAGGGGGTCATGGGTGAGTACTGGCGAAGAGTCGCAAATTAGGATGGAACAGTTGTATATTCATTGCTTGTGGCGTCCGTCAAGGATGCCCATTATCCCCATTTCTATTCAACTTCATCATAGATGTACTAATGGACTTAACCCTAACTCACTTCAGAGACTCAGGGATTGACCCGTTACCACCAGGGTAAAATCTCGTTGACTTGGAATATGCAGATAATATAGTTCTTTTAGGTGAAGATGCTGTCAAAATACAGAGTCTTCTGAACACCTTTAGCTGCAATCTACGAATGTTTGGCATGAGATTCCCTCCCGCCAAATATAAGATGATGTTACAGGATTGGACTACACTAACTCCTCGTTTAGAAATAGGGAGTGAAGTGGTTGGTGGAGCGTGTTGACCGCTTCACTTATTTGGGAAGTTGCATCAGCCGGTTCCCAACAAGTTGATCTCTGACGAAATCTCACCACGACGGATACAGAGGGCTAGTTTCGCATATGCCAGTTTACGCCGTCTCTGGTGTGGTTGTGATATTCGACTGGCTATCGACCAAAGGGCGGGTGTACTGCTCATCAGTCCGCTCCGTCCTCCTTTATGGCTAGCTATGAGACCTGGCCATTCAAAGTAGGAGACATGAGAAGATTAGCTGCCTTCGATCATAGGTGCCTGCGCTCTATCTCCCGTGTGAAGTGGTATCATAAGGTGAACAATATTGAGGTTAGGCATTGGTTGAGTGCTAGGTGAGTTGGAGGGGAAATCAGTCGACGAGACTGTGAAATTACATCGACTGAGGTGGTTAGGACATGTGCTACGTATGCCTAGTCATCGCCTTCCTCGACAATGTGCAATGTTAGCTGATATAGGGTCAGGCTGGAAATGAGCTAGTGGTGTCGATGGTTAAACCAAAACATGGCTTCATCAGTCAATGAAATCCACAACAGTTAGTTTGAGCCAGCCACGTAGGAAGGTGTAGACTTCCTGGTTGGGGTCCTCGGGACGGTAAAAGCCAATGGCGGCTGGAGACAATTGGTGACATGGCTGAAAATCGTTCTCAATGGCCGGTGCAGAGGCCTCCACTTCTTGTGACTTATGATTTCCAATTATACTGTTTTGTTCGTCGTCATTACTATACCTTTGTCTCACACCTCTGTTTACTGTCTATATTATGCATTTGTCCTACTTTCTTCTCTTGCTCTGTGTGCTAAATGAAGGGAGTGTAGCGACTTGAACTGCCGCACATATGTGCAAAGTTCTATGTCGAAAACAGACAGACAGACATACTCATTGCTTCTTGATTTTCAATGATTGTCTAATTCATATCAATCAATCCCTGATCAAACTCGACTAAATGAGGGTGCATTTCAGCCATCAATAAAAACTGTTGTGTCACAAGAGCAAATAGGTTAAGGAACACACGATGGAGAAATAATTTATGCTCGAAACGACATCGAACAATTATCAATATACTGCATCGTTTTGTGTGATATTTGAAATACTCTTAACTAATACTGAAACGAAGAGGATGTTATTTCGTGAATAATGAATGACCTGTGTAGGAATCCACAATATGGATTTCGTCCTATTTGAGACTCGTCATGTGTGGATTTGCCTGTATTCCCAGTGAGTGACACATTGTTCCCATTGGAGCTTGAACCCAACACTTGCCTTATTAAAAAAAGGGTAAAGCGTCATGCCTACTACGTCACTCGGACGGACCACTAAGTGACAACACATGGCAGTCCCCAGACAACGTCATAGCATCCATACTAGTGTGATACAGACAATGTGTTCCAACAGAATATTATTCGCACAGTTCAATACTGCTTTAGCAACAGAATACTACATATATGTATTTGAACATTCTATTTCATGTTGTTTAATTTAAACCCAAATCACACACTCGGTAATTGCTTAAAGAATACAGAACTATATATATATATATGAAAGGGTGGGAGGGTTTTAAATAGAATTCATCTAGGCCAAGGGAGAGACAAAGGTAGAACAAACTTCTTTTGTTGTATGCAAAGACTAGGATTGTTCTCTCGAATTAATTCCCATACCTTCTTCGGCTATGTGTAAAAGACGGATTCGAATTCCCTTCGAAAGACTCTTTGGAATGCGATAGATAACTTTGAAGACACTTTTTCTTCTGTCCACTTGGTGACCACTATCAGCAATCAAATGAGCCAAAATAGAACTTCTCATAGATTTTATTTGACATTTTCCAAACCATGAAGGAAGGTGCTCATTAATGTGTTTGTTAAGCTGTCTGGTTTTTCGCCCTATATAGCTCTCTCCACAGGAGCAACTAAATTTATAGATACACATAGAAGTGGCACAGCTAGGTAGCTTGTCTTTCACTTGAGCAATCATAATTGGTTGGCAGCTGGAAAATGACAAACAAAGGGTGATGGGAGTATAAGTCCGTTTTATCGATCTCGATAATCTCAGATGTAAGACTTCGGTATTGCAATGGGTTCTCCGTTGGGGCCTGTTTTGGCATATTTCTTTCTTTCAAAGGTTGAAAATGGTCCATTGAAACAAGTAATAGATAAAGCTGATTCTTATTTTCGCTATGTTGATGATACGTTTATTATTCTTGATGTGAAAGCTGATAAGAATGAAATGTTAATAAAAAAATTTAATGATGCACATCCATCGCTGATGTTCACTTGTGAAGAAGAACATGATGGTAGACTACACTTCCTTTACGTCCAGTTGAGCAGAAGAGAGGATGGTTCACTCAAGAGAGATGTCTATAGAATGTCTATAGATACATTTAAAATACGCTGATCCTAATGGGATTGATTTGTAAGGAGACACATCAACACCAAGTACAATAAAGAGAAACTAACAACAGTTGAAAAGAAACAACTGTTCATGAAATTGCAATTTAATGGGGACGTGGTTAGCGAAGTCTTACATCTGAGATTATCGAGATCGATAAAACGGACTTATACTGCCGCCACCCTTTGTTTGTCATTTTCCAGCTGCCGACCAATTATGATTGCTCAAGTGAAAGACAAGCTACCTAGCTGTGCCACTTCTATGTGTATCTATAAATTTAGTTACTCCGCCACTCGAACAGAATTCGAATCCGTCTTTTACACATAGCCGAAGAAGCTATGGGAATTAATTCGAGATAACAATCCTAGTCTTTGCATACAACAAAAGAAGTTTGTTCTACCTTTGTCTCTCCCTTGGCCCAGAAGAATTCAATTCAAAACCCTCCCACCCTTTCATATATATATATATATTTATAGGTTTGATCACTTGAAAATATACCTTGGCTTCCGTGTCTTGCCATCTGCGGTTACACCAGTAGTCGATATGTTAACACAGGTCGAACATTTCACAACAATATAATCAATTAACGGGGAAATGCGGCCTGCATAAGATTCCGGCTACCAAAAACTTCCGTCTCTCGCTATTGCATATGTTTTCTCTCGTTCGGTTTGTTTTAATCAATTAAGATGTGACCTCTAATGCTTCTGATTCTCAGGTTCCTCCTACTAAACTTGAGGAATGGCCTGTGATTATGGGCTGGCAATGTATCCCCCAGTACCTGGGAGATAACTGTTATTCAGTTATTATGTATGCCCTTGGGTCTCAAAATGTACTTCTAAACATCTCTTACAAATTAGCTTTCAACTAGATCGATATCGTGGGTGGATTTCTTGAAGGAAGGGGACAAAGCAGATATAAATATATGTCATAATGGAATGGTTTGTGCTTCATCAGCTCAGAGACCAACCAACCACTGTGTGTGTCATAGGAAGGAGATACTGTCAATTAATTAATATTTTACTTGAAGATATTGACTGTGCGAAGAGAGGAAATATCATGCAATAAACTCCTCTGGAAATTCTGTACATTTTATAAATACTGTCCAGAATAAAGATATTACTGTTATATTTTTTTATTCCTTCACGTTCCCAGTGGGACATAGGGCTTCAATCTAGTGGCTTGAAGTTTCTGTAGCAGTGGTATTTATTTTTACACAATGGGGTAGCTAGCCTCATGCCCAACCTTTCCTCTTTAACAGCTTTATTTCTACTTTAGCGAGGTAAAGGAGTGCGTCAGCGGCCGGGAATCGAACCCCGGACCATGTGCATGGTCGGCGAGCATCCTAACAGCTGTGCCACCGACGCATACATTACTATTAGATAATAAACAAAATAGGTATGCCAGCTTACCTATGAGATTAATCATACCCTCATTATACACAGCATACAATCGGATAAGATCACGATAAAGGAAGAGATGTGCAACACGCAGAAGAGAATTCGACAGTTCATTTGTTGTTGCCTAAACACAATGGAGAAAAAAGAAATAGAGAAAGCACAGAGTATGCATGCGTAGGTGAGAGATTAACAAATAGACAAATGACACTCTGACAACGACGAAGTGTACATGACATATTTTTGACTCCTCGCTTTCGAATTTCGAAGGTTTCAGTAACACTGGAGTGTTGTTTACTTTTATAGATTGAGACTACTTAGCCGAGAAGTAATTTGAAAACTGCTTCAACACTACGGGGGTACCGTACCTCAAGCCTTTGTCAACCTCATTCAACAACAGTTGGCTATATATATGACAATACCACGTGTCAAGTGATCCGCAACAGAAAACTCACTCAGTGAGGCGTTCAAAGTGCATACAGGAGTACAACAAGGCTGGCTGGCTGCCTATTATCACCTACTATGACATTCCTAATTGTGGTGGACTGGATTATGCGTCGGACTGTTGGGGGCGAGGAGTCAGGAATACGCTAGACGACCGACAAAAAGACTCTAGAACATCTGGATTTCGTGCGCAGATTATTTATGTCTATTGTCATACAAACTCGAAGGCTTGCAGGCGAAAATCAACAAACTGGCGGAAGAGGCAGCGAAAACAGGACTGCAGGTGAACACAGAGAAGACGGAGGGAATAAAGATAACCAATCAACCAACCAACGAACAACAAAAAAGTCAGCACCCACCACCAAAGGGAGACATTTGACAGAGGTTACTTCCTTCACTTATCTGACTAAGAAGCATCGTTTCAACTACAAGCGGAACGGACGAAGATGTCGAAGTCAGAATCGGAAAGGCAAGATACGCCTTCATCAACCTGAAACCAGTTTGGAAATCTTCTGCACTCACTCGGTCAGCATGAAGAAAAAGATTCGGATTTTCCAAAAACTAATGTCAAGCTGGTCCTTCATCACGAAAAGCATTTCCAACAGCCTGTTGCAGACTGTCATCAACAGCTGCCACCTTCACTGGCTCCAAATTGAAGATCAAATGGCCAGAAAGAATAAGAAACAAGGAACTGTGGCGTAGAGCAAACCAACAGGCGAGAGACGATCGCTCAACAAATATGTAGGAGAAAATGGAGATGGATGGATCGGGCATACATTGAGGAGACCGCCGAATGATATCGCACACCAGGCCATAGCTTGAGTGGAATCCAAATAGGAAGCGACGAGTGGGTAGTCGATGCGAGGGTGACATGGAAGAGATGAGAGAGTCTGGTTAATCGTGGAGTGAGCCAGCTGAAGAGGACAGCAGAAAACAGAACAAAGTGGAGATGTGTTGTTGAAGCGAGCCCTATGTTCCACTCGGAACGCAAGGGAATAATAATAATAATAGTCGTCTCACACTTCAACCTTCCCACTGTCTCTCCTGTAGACTTACTATAAGAGCTAGAAAACTAGCCGTGGGATGGAGGGGTTAAACAGTAAGTCGGTTGGGAATCGAACCCCGGACTATGTGTGTATGGTTAAGGGGAGCACATTTTACTACTAACTGCATTATACGTATACGCCCACGCACACACATACACACACAAAAGAGGGAAAAGAGTACTTACATCGAACAACAGTAGGGCATCTATTTGTTTCTCGATAACTGGTAGAGTTTTCAACAACTATTAGAAAAAAATAAAAAGCAAATAAAATTAGAAAAACATACAGAAAACAATTACGAATTATCATACGTATTATTTCTTCTTAGTCTTTTAACAGCCTCTCGATGCCACTTTGTGAGTGTACTATGGAGCTTATTCTTATTCTTCTAGCGATACTAATAGCAACAGTCCATCAGGGTTGATTTGAATCTTTCCCGGTCCTCATCATCACAGGAGGCGACCAAGTCCCCTGTTTGTATATAGAGGTTCTCCAACTAACTGTACACCAGTGTCAATCTGACTAATCTCTGTACGAAAATCATAAAACTTAGGTCCTAGAGATAACGCTTCAAGTTGTAGTTAGTTTATCAAGAGTCATGCGTCGGTGGCATAGCGGTTAGGATGCTCACCGACCGTGCACATGGTCCAGGGTTCGATCTCCGGCCACTGACGCACTCCTTTACCTCGCTAAGCCAGAAATAATGCTGGTGAAGAGGAAAGGTTAGGCATGAGGCTAGCAACCCCATCCTGTAAAAGTAAACACTGCTAAAGAAACTTCAAGCCACTAGCTTGAAGCCCTATGTTCCACTGGGGAACGTGAAGGAAAAAAAAATTCTAGAAAAGTTATGGATGTACGTTTCTTGGTTAGCAGGAAATTTACTTTCGAGAGTTTGGCTTTCTAAGCCTTCCATCAGTTGTGCTCGTTTGTTTTTGTTGTTGAGGAATTAGATTTGGTGATTTCATCCACTTATTCCACAAATTGTAGTCTCATATCTTCTGGAAGCTGGAGAAGTGCATAATTCCTTTGTGATATATTATATCAAGTCACTCATACAACTTTTTACTTCATTTATATACATGATATGATTGTGAGCAGTAATAATTTGTGCTCGAAACGTCATCAGTTAATATTAATGTACAACAAACACTGTGTGATTTATCAAAATAAAATCTTTTCTAACGTGACTTTTGATAAACTACAACTTGAAGTGCTATCTTTAGGACCTAAGTTTTATGATTTTCGTACAGAGATTAGTCAGATTGACACTGATGTACAGTTAGTTGGAGGACCTCTATATACAAACAGGGGACTTGGTCACCTCCTGTGGTGAAGAGGATCTGGAAAGATTCAAATCAACTCTGGTGCTGTTTCTATCAGTATAGACAGAAGAATAAGAATAAGTTCCATGGTAATGTTTATAATTATTCATCTCATTTTGGACCCAGTTAGTCGACTTCATGGGTTGAATTTAATGTGAAGCCAAGTGAATGGGATAACAGCCTAATGTGAAATGTGCACACCTACAACAGCATTCAGTCATCGAACCCACGACGCGGTGGAGGTATTCCTTACATAAGAGGTGAACAGGAGAAATCCAGATATCTAGCGCATACAACCGGACAGGTGTTGAACAAGCACGTCTAACTAGGGAAGTGGGAAAACCCTAATTCCAAACCTACGATATACATGAGCTCCAGAATACGAAAAGATCGAATAGTTTATAAACCCGTAACTACGAGAACTTAGCTGCTCCACTGCTTTGTGGGTTCAACTTTCAAGTGGAGGACTCACGAGGGTCAAGTGGCTTTTTAAGACAGCTAGCTACCTGCTTCAGTCTGAGTGTCCAGGTAGTGTATCCCCGCCATTGCACAAACTATGACACAGGGATTTTGTGTCACATCTCCTGGTGACCATAATGCATCAGGTTTGTGGGAGAGCAGCTGAACTCAATTTCCCGGAACGAAGTTTCTCATATATCAAGAGGCTAAAAGCCATATCTATCGTTTGAGGAATAGTGATACTATAACTCATTTGCGACCAGGTTGAACTAGGTACAGGCTGGATTCGAGGACGGGACCTACTGTGACTAAAAGCCTCACCTAGCACTCGACCGATGCCTAACCTCAATATTGCTCACCTTATTATACCACTTCACACGGGAGATAGAGCGCAAGCAACTATGATCGAAGACAGTTAAACTTTTCATGTCTTCCACTCTCAATGGCTGGGTCTCAGCCATTAAGGAGGACGGAGCGGACTGCTGAGCTGTACGCTCGCCCTTTAGTCGACAGCCAGCTGGATATCACGTCTACCGAGGCAGAGACGGCGTAAACTGGCATATGCGAAACTAGCCCTCTGTATTCGTGTTGAGATTTCGTCAGAGATCAACCTGTTGGGACCGTCTGATGCAACTTCCCAAATAAGTGAAGCGATCAACGTGCTCTACCACTTCACTCCCTATTTCTAAACTAGGAGTCAGTGTAGTCCAGTCCTGTAGCAGCATCTTACATTTGACAGCGGGAGCGAATCGCGTGCCAAACATTCGTAGATTGCAACTCAAGGTGTTCAAAAGACTGCTGAATTTTGTCAGTGTCTTCACCTAGCAGGGAGGACTATAGTATCTGCATATTCTAAGTCAATGAGATTATTCCCTGATGGTAACAAGTCAATCCCTGAATCTTTGAAGTCCATTATAGTACATCTGTGATGAAATTGAACAGAAATGTGGATAGTGGGCATCCTTGACGGACACCACTAGTTGTCACCACTTCATCAGTAAATAATACTGTATAACAAACACTGTGAGACTTTATCAAAATAAAATTTTATCCATAATGGAGTTATACTCTACCACCACAGTGCACAAGTTCTTTTCTTATATCATCTTCCAACAGTCTAATGGCGTCAATTAGGAGTCATAGAAAAAATACAGCAAAAAACACACGCTCTAATGCACCATAAAAGTCACAGACACACGCACGCACGCATAAAACAGGTATTATCTGAAAATATTATCATCATTTCGTAATAGCGTCGATATTTTTAAAAAAATTTTTGCTTGACAGTGAATGACAATTTCATCTCAAGTCTAAAATATTGGCTTACTACTATTATATAGAGAGGATAATATAAAATGGGGAATATGATAGACGCATCGATGATGATAAGCGCTATAATTTTTGCCGAAGTTTCGATTACGCATAGCTCTTCTTCACCTGTGTGCTTAGCTCACAAAAATGACATGCAGTGTTTCAAATTGGGTTTATCTCTCCCCACTGTATTGATTACATTTCTAGTGTCCTTCTCGAATACACCTTTTTTCTCTTTTGATTTATTACGGGATTTTCATCATGAGCTGACATTAGTTAGAGAACCACTGGAAAACCAGCTGGGAGTACTGGACAGATGTTTCGTCCTAGTTTGGGACTCTTCATCAGTACGCACCCACCGGGATTCGAAGAGTCCCAAACTAGGACGAAACAGCTGTCCAGTACTCCCGGCTGGTTTTCCAATGGTTCTCTAACTAATGTCAGTTCATGATGAAAATCCTGTAACCAATCAAATACCTACAAACCAACACTTGAATATCTTTTGATTTAATTATGTTCACCTAGCTAGCTGGTGGTTGAATTGTGCGTACCTCATCGCACTTATCTTCAGTGTGAAGAAGTGAGTTTCTTTTAATGTGGGAGACTCTTCTGATGACTTTAAGCTGAGATTGGTTGTTCCATTGTATCGGTATCGATTATTTCATTAACCTGGAATACTGTGTGTGAACATCTCGATTCTTTGTATGGGTGTGTGTGTGTGTTCTGGAACTATATGAGGTCCCATAAAATTAGGCTTCATAGATATGCACATATAAAAATTGGGTACAATATTTGTGCTGGTATACAGGAAAATTTATTCCGATGAATTGACTTCAAATTTAACATTTGATTTCAGTTCATGGTATAGTAACAATAACCTGCAGACAGGACCTGGTAAGGCTTGTACGGTGGGTGGGTGGTTAAACTTTGACCTTCCCCTCAAAATACTCTCATGTAGTCACGTATTCATAACCTCTTCCAGTTAAGTCCTCCTATTCACGCGGCAGTATTTCTCACACTAAAGTGAAACGGCAGTTTCAAACGTTTGGCACTTACACAACCAGGTTAAACCCTTGGATATGCAGGTCCACATATGGGAGCCAGGAAAAGTCTAATTATTCTAGAATTTAAAAGGATAGAATGATGTATGAACCTGTTTCGGGCACAAGCACCACCACCACCACCTTTGGAACATACTTCCTGACATTTCACCACTGCTGTGTTGGTCAAACTTTAAGTCAAAGACTCAGGATGTGGCTAGCCTCTTAGATTAACCACCTACTTCGCTTCGGTGATCTAAGGTTCCAAGCAGTAAGTATCCTAACCGTATCACAAACTATGAGATTTTGGTGCCTATAATCTTTCAAAATTTGTGTTTTAATTAAATAGTTAATAAACAGGAGTAACAATGATATTATTCTAAAATGTGGCCACCCCCTCCATCGCACAAAAAAGCAAACAAACGCGGTAACTTACTTTCTCTTGTGGCATTGTTCTCATATCACTGTCATCTTTTCTAAACAAGGAGATATTGAGAGAAAATAACAAGAAGGAATTTTGACTTTTTTTTAAAAAAAAACTATGACTTGTAAAATAAAATAAGAAATATTAAATAAGATAAACTGGGAGAGAAAACTGATCTGACTGTTTCAAACTTGATAGCTTCTTGACGGATATCAATCAGCCAGTGAGTGGTCTAAGCTAAACAGTCTTACCTTAAATTGTAGAAAATCAAAACAAGTGGTGATTCAGCGAAGAGACTCTTTTCAACGAATTTATCATCAAGCTGTACAATCGTATGTATTGGTTGTTTTGTAAGAAATTATATCCGGTGAGGGAATTGAATCATAGGTGTGAATGCATAAAATAATAATAATATGAAATGCAGTTAAAACTAAAATGTTTGTGATTATAATCGTAGTTAAATGTCAAGTGTCCAAACAATTAATGTCATGTATAGGATAATTCATTGGATGTATAGAACTTGAAAAAGGTGTGCAATAATAGCATTACTAGGCAAATAGAATAAAAATGAAAACATTACGTAATATTGTCTGAAATTTAATAGCATAGAATTTAACATTGCAAAACAGAATTGATTTAGAATGACAAGTGGGACAAGTGAAATAATACCGGGGACAATTAAAAGTGAGAGTAGTAATAGTAACAATTGACATTGTAATAAAGAGAATACAAATTGAATAGACAAAAATGAAAAATTGGTAGAGCCAAAATATGATTGCGGATTGCTGCTGCTGCTGGATTCAACATAGAACTTGGCTGCACCGAAGTGCAGCAGTTCCAGTTGCCACGTTCCAAATAGCACACAAAGGTAGACAAGAAGATGAGTGATGAAGAGAATCAATAGAGTTTTGACAAGTATAAGAGTGAAACAGAATGAGTGAGTAATGGTAGAAAGCAATATGAAAGATTACACAAGAGACTGAATACATCTGCGTAGGCCATTGACAACGATTTTGAGCCATGTCACCTATTGTCTCCAGCCATTGATGATTCTTAGAGTCCCGAGGGCTGGCTCCAACCCGGAAGTCTGCATCTCCCTCCCTACCTGACTCAGTTTAACTGTCAGGGATTTCATGGATTGATGAGGCCATGTTTTTGTTTGGACACCACTTACTCTTTTCCAACCTGCACCTATATCAGCTAGTAATACCCGTCCGTCGTGGGAGGCGATGGTTAGGCATGTGCAGCACGTGACCTAGCCATCTCCATTTATGTAACTTCATAGCCTCTTCGATTGATTTTCCCTCTTTGCCCAGCACTCTACGCCTAACGTCAACATTACTTACCTTATTATACCACCTAACGCGAGAAAGAGATCGTAAACATCTGTGGTCAAAAACAGACAATCTCTTCATGTCTTCCGCTCTCAATGGCCACGTCTTACCGCCATAGAGAAAGACGGAGCGAACTGCTGATTGGGGATTACCAAACTTTAGCATAGAGGAATTAAGACCATGAAAGTTGGAGGGGTTGAAAGAACTTTTTCTCTACAAAGATATCTGGCTTTTCTGTTTCCATAGCCAAAGATGGCTTCAGCAATACAGATGAGTCGAGTACGTAGGGATTTGGGTAAATTACTCTTTGCCTTGTAGATGACTTTAAAGGAGGAGGCTGTAGATGGAGATGGGGTGATCATTATCGACCAGATATTCCGTTCAATGATCGCGCTTCTTATTGCTCCACTTCCACCTCTTCGTAACCACCGTGCAGGATAGTGTTCTTGCTCCCTCTTGGACAAAACTCGAATCGAACGACCGATATACCTAGCTCCACACGAGCAGGTGGTATGATAAACACACATAGAGTTGGTCAACAGCGGGGTCTTATCCTTCAGGTTATTGAACAGTAATGGTCGACTAGTAAAGGCTATTCTCAGAGATGCAGCAGGGAATGTTCTTTTCAGGGACTGTGATATCTTTCGTTTCATGATATCGGAAGCTAAGTTCCCTTTGAGTTCCAAGCTCATGGAAGGTATTTTTTGGGTACGGATGATAAGTCACGTTTTTTAGGATTTGAATGTATATTCTTATCTATAAAACGTGGTGGAAATCCATTTTCTATTAGGTTTTCCTCCAAAAGATATCTCATCTTCCACAGTATCAAGGCTACATATGCGCCGAATGTGAGTGGCAAACGACCGGACCAGGTTTCGTTTTCGACCTTAAATTCCTTTAAATGTCAGACTATTAACTCTAAATTTAAGCATAAATGACGTGATCTACAAGAACTAGTCCGTTCACATGATGCTGCTTGTAGCATAGAGGACACTGAAATGGAGATTAAGTCAAGCATAAAATACCTTAGGATACCTTTGCGTCGGTGGCATAGTGGTAGAATGCTCGCCAACCAAGCCACATGTGGTTCGGGGTTCTATCCCCGACAACCGACTCACTCCTTTACCTCGCTAAACCAGTAAAAAGACTGGTAAAGAGGGAAGGTTGGGCATAAGGCTGGCTAGCAACCCCATCTCGTAAAAAAATAAACACCACTACTACCGAAAATTCAAGCCTCTAACTTGAAGCCCTCGCTATGTTCCACTGGGAACGTAAAGGAATAAAAAAATTAAAATAACTTAGGGTAGTTCTATCACCTGACCTTTTTTGGTCATCTGACATCTTGTCAAAATGTTGTCAAAAATGTTGCATCTAACTTTCTATATTAAGAGGTAAAGACAATCAGTGAGGTGTCACTCACTCAACCTCTACTTTCACAATTTGTCAACCCTTGTATCTTACCTAGTTTAGTTTACTGCTCCCCCTTAGTTTAACCTGAGCTACTTAAAGAGGACTATGTCATATTGCGAAGGGTATTAAAAGGGGGCTGTTAGTAGGGCAAGTGGTGTGTTACTAAGTCAGCCAGCTGACTCATTACTGCTGTGGTCGATTGACATCTGAAGTCTTGTGAGAAATGGTCCAAATCAATATTGTTAGACTCTTAAGAGCCATCGCCTCTATTCTGAACTCTCCCCAGCTTGCATGTCATCAGGTAGGGGACTAGAAGTGATTACAACAAAAGGTTATATGCTCGAAAAACCCAACCCAGTACAAAAACTCAACGATATCTGCGTTCTATGTAATAGAGATCGAGTTAAACGTGACTTTTTATGTTATTAGCAAAATAACTGGCTCTTTTTATCCTCTCCTATTTGCAATATATGCTGATACTATTTCAGTGAATTTATAATTTTAGCTATTAACATTGCATTGGACACTAGTAACTAGTATAATGTGTCTAGTCTTGTATTTTGGTGCAGACTGAATTCTATCAGTCAGGTTTGCAATGTGGCCACCATTTCAGGTATCTCGCCATAACGGTGCACTTTGAATTTCTGATGCTAGATGGTTAGAGGCAGTCGGCAGGAAGCCTTGCCTGACCTAGCTTTCGTGCTAGTTGGCACTCGTCAGTCAGTCAATCAGTCAGTAAGGCGTATCTGCAACCTTGAAGGAACTCATGTCCCTCCTCCTGAGATTCTAACCCGCGTCACCCAGTGCTGCCTGCAGTTGGAGACGTTATCCCTGAGCTATTCGGACTCGTCACTGACCTCCTGTAGGACTGACTGTATTGAATACTTTCACTGGACACTAGTAACAGTGTTGACGTCTCTGACTGCAGGCAGCACTGGGTGACGCGGATTCGAATCTCAGGAGGAGGGACATGAGTTCCTTCAAGCTAGTCGCAGATACGCCTTACTGACTGACTGACTGACGATATATCGCGACCGCTAGACTATCATCGCTAGCGAGTAACTGCCTTCACATCTGACCTGCTGTATCCTACTGGTCACAACTCCGCACTAGAATCCAAGTAACTACCTAACTGAATAGGGCAAGTCACTAGTGAGCTAGTGCATACTGATAAAGAGTCCCCCCAAACTAGGTTGACGAAACAGCTGTGTCAAGTACTCCCTGTTAGTCTTCCAATGGTTCCCTAACCGATATCGGCTAATAATGAAATCCTGTAACTAATCAAAAGAGCTATAATAAGCACGAAATATACAGCAGAAAGAATATGGGAGATTGCAAAAAATCGAATGCATCTGTGTTACTGAGAATCTTATTGAGCCATTGGTTATGAGTATCACAAAGACGCACCATTTAGGTAGTTAACACCTCCCTGCATATCTCAAACAAACTATTTAGGACTATATGGAATGATTCTACGATTTGCTTTGCCAACGCTTAACTCGTCTCCAACCTAAAATTACTTGCCGAGAAAGGCAGTAGCTCAGAATGAGTAACACTTGTCTTAACCACCTCAATTAACGCGGGTTCATAACCACATCGATTAACTCGTTCCCCTCCCCTCCTTACGTAACACACCCTGCGCTTGACCAAAATATCAATCACCATATTAAAACCCTTTAACACGGATGACAGAACGTAAACGCTTATGGTCAGAGACAACAAAGTCAGTAAAAAAGATTACAAAATTTTTTTAAAAATATGGCAGTAACTTAGTTCTGGGTGAACACGTGATTCAAATTTTTTGCGTTGATTAATTACTACTCATTAATTAGGTTAGTATAAAGCCCCGTTGAATTTTACAAGCAGAAAGATACCAGAATAGAAGTCGCCTATCATTATTATTGTTATTATTATAATTAATCACAAGGCGAAAATCGATAAAAAATTTAACCAATCCGTTAAAATACTACTATAAATAATAATAAGTAGTATACTATCGGTTCAAGTAAAAAAAGAGAAAAGAATTTATCAGTGAAGTCAACCTTTCGCATCACGTGAAGTGCTTACTAAATGAATTGATCATCTCAGACGACAGACAAGTAAGTAAAAATCAATCTTTTGCATTTTTAAAAACCTTTTTATAAACTAGTAAGTAATTAAAGGAATCTATATAAGTGTTTTAAGGATTTGCTATCTTAACTTTTAAGAGAGGGAGCTACACTTTTGAGCCTTGTGTTTAAATGATTTTTTACATAAAAGCAAGAAGATGGTTCTAGATTTGACTCTCAAGAGATGATATCATTGATGC